GGGCAGACGAAGGCAGCCCAGGCTCTTGCCAAGCTCACCATCACCTCCAACCCAGAGATGACTTTTCCCGGTGAGCGGGTGCGTGTCTTTCTGCCCCAGCGCTGGCCTGTCCTCCACCCCCTCACAGGGCCCTGATGGTCTTTGACCCGAGCTGCGGCTCCTCCTTGGGGAAGTGTCAGCTTTGCTGAGCCCTGGGGGTGGGAAGGGCAGCCTTCTTTTTGGGGCTGGACTCCCTCCCATCTGCAGGGCCGGTGGGGTTGGGGGAGCTGGGGCGCGTAGCCCTGACAGGTGGGTGCGTATTGCAGATCTACGAGGTGGTCCGGCCCCTCGTCTCTCTCCTGCACCTCAACTGCTCCGGCCTGCAGAACTTTGAGGCACTCATGGCTCTAACAAACCTGGCAGGGATCAGCGAGAAGCTCCGGTAAGGTCCCTTGGGATGTGGGGCCTGGGCAGGGTATCATGGTTTGGACCATCCCCAGGAAAGCGCTTTACAGCGTGGAAAGCACTCCCCAGTCACTCACTTATTTGCTCCTCATGGTGACTCCTCTGCATCTTACAGCGGAGGAGACAGGCCGAGAGGCGTGACTTGTGCAGTGTCCCGTGAGATAGCAAGGGACTGGGCGATGACAGCGCAGGCCCCGGAGGCTGCCTGGGTTCAAATCCTGGGTTCACTGTTTATTAGTGTATAACCTCACAAGTAACTTAACCCCTCTGTGCCTCAGTTTCCCTCTCTGTGAAATAGGATGGCTACAGTACCTAGCTCGTGGAGGAGCAGCGAGGAGGACTAAATGAGAAAATACATGTAAAAGCATTTACTACATAGGTGCCTGGCTTCTGGCAGTGTGCCCAAGCAGTACAGATTAGCTATTACTGCTGATTGTGACCTTGGGCCACTCAGTCTCCTCTTTCGCAAAATAGTAATAATGATAATCACACCTGCACCTTCACTGTAGGGCTGTAGCGAGGATTAAGTAAGGTAGTCCGAGTGCTGGGTCAGGGTGAGGGCTCGAATGTTAGGTGTTAGCATTGCCATCATCACCACCTGGGTCTCCTAACTCCTACTTTAGAGCATTTCCCAAGGTCCTGTGCTATTTCCTAGGCCCAGTTAGAAGGCTGGAAACCACTGCCTGGTGGTTTCATCCCTGGTGCAGGAGGGTCTTTGGATATTGCCCAAGGAAATCCTTGGCCCCGGGTTTGATGGTGTGGGGAAACAGGGGTGGGGGTGATGGATGCCAACGCTCTGGTGATGCCGACCCTCCACCCTTGGCCCCACAGGCAGAAGATCCTGAAGGAAAGGGCTGTGCCCATGATTGAGGGCTACATGTTTGAGGAGCACGAGATGATCCGCCGGGCAGCCACCGAGTGCATGTGTAACTTGGCCATGAGCACGGAGGTGAGGGTTGGTCCCGGAGGCGGTCATGGCGGGCAGGCACGCAGAAGTACCTGTCCCTGGCTGGGCTTTGCCCCAGCTAACCTGGTGCGCTCCCCGCTTCCGGCCACAGGTGCAGGATCTCTTTGAAGCCACGGGCAGTGACCGGCTGAAGCTGCTGGTGCTGTACAGTGGAGAGGACGACGAGCTGCTGCGGCGGGCAGCTGCTGGGGGCCTGGCCATGCTCACCTCCACGCGGCCCTCGCTCTGCAGCCGCATCCCCCAAGTGGTCAGTGCCCCTTCTTGGTGGGGCAGGGGAGGTGGGCCCGGAACCCCCAGCCAGGGTGTGTGAGTGAGTGCGCTGCCAGGGTTCCCTGATGCTCGGTGGTCACGCTGCCCTGTTTCCTGCAGACCACACACTGGCTGGAGATCCTGCAGGCCCTGCTTCTGAGCCCCAACCAGGAGCTACAGCACCGGGGCGCTGTGGTGGTGTTGAACATGGTGGAGGCCTCGAGCGAGATTGCCAGCACCCTGATGGAGAGCGAGATGCTGGAGATCCTGTCAGTGCTAGCTAAGGGCAAGGAGAGCCCAGTCATGAGGGCTGCCGCCGCTTGTCTGGGGAAAGCAGTGGAATATGGGCTTATCAGACCCAGCCAGGATGGAAAGTGAGGACCTGCCTCTCACACACGCTACCTATCGCAGCACAGGGAGCGAGGACAGACATGGCCTTGGCTGGTGGGTGCTGGGGTGTCTCCTGCCCAGCTGCCCTTTGATGTCCTCTGTTCTGAGTCAGGGGCCACGTTCACAGCCCTGCTTTGCCAGCACTGCCTCCTGCCTCACGCAGCAGGGAACTTTTCCTGTACTACTTAGACAGCTGGGAACAGGGAAGGTGCGTCCTAACTCAGCCTGTGGATTCCCTGTACTGGGAAGGACCCAGCTGTGAGCCTGACCAGCTGTGAGCCTCACCTGAGCCTGCTGGCAGGACCACCCCTCGTCCTCTAATAAAAGTGTGTGAAACTCAAATATGTGCCCAGTCAGTGGGCAGGGAGGGCTGGCTGTGGGCCAGAGTGTGGAGCAGGAGCTGGGTATGGCTGAGTGTGTGGGGGTAGCTTTTCAGCAGCACAGCCACCTCTGTGGAAGGAATCCAATGAATTCCCACCCCAGGGCCCGCTGAATTGCCTTTTAATCCTTGTGGAGGGCCAAAGGGTAAATGTAAGCAAATCAATAAAGTATCCAGTCGCATGGAAACACGTGCATTAGGCTTTTCAATACTTCTGCCTTTATTTATTTATGGCTGCTTTGGGGTCTTCCTTGCTGTGTAGGCTTTCTCTAGTTGCAGTGAACGGGGGCTAACGGGGGCTACTCTTTGTTGCGGTGCGCGGGCTTCTCATTGCGGTGGCTTTTCTTGTGGCGGAGCACAGGCTCCAGGCACGCGGGCTCAGTAGTTGTGACTCGGGGGCTCTAGAGCGCAGGCTCAGTAGTTGTGGCGCACGGGCTTAGGTGCTCCGCCGCATGTGGGATCTTTCTGGACCAGGGCTTGAACCCGTGTTCCCTGCATTGGCAGGTGGATTCTTTAACCACTGTGCCACCAGGGAGAGTTTTCAGTGACCTCCAGTCAGGCAGAGCTCGGGATATGGCGGTGGGAAAGCCCTGAGGGAAGCTCCAGTAGCTGAGCGGGGTTGGAGCTAAGCTTGGACCGCTGCGGGCATCCCCACCTGCCTGGGCGGGTGGTCCCTGAGAGCCTGCTTCCGCTCTCTGCAGAGCGGACTAAGCCCAGCTTGACTCTCATTGGCTTAACGGAGGTAAGTGACAGATCCCGAGCCAATGGAAGGTAAAAACTGCCCAGCACCCGCCTAATTCGGGTGCTGCTTCTAGGGCCTCAGACCCGCGCGTGTCCAGTAGCTAGCTGCCGCCATCCCCGACAGAGGACTGACGGGCGGCGCCCGTCACTGGGGTCGCTTGTCGCCAACCCCTTAGTTCTTTCTGATCGTCCCCCAAGTGCTTCTAATACTGACTCCGCGGCCCCGCGCGTGCCTGCGGAGGACGGGACCATCTGGCCCAACGAGCCCACGCCCACCGAAGGTTTCGTCCACTCCCCGCCGGAGGCCGCAGCGGCCTAGCGTAGGCCTTGGGACCGGTTTGATCGAGCTAGGACTGGACAGGCCGCGGCGGGGATCGCCGGAACCGAGGTGAGCTCGTCCCAAGGCTGTCCTCCCCGCGCGGTGACATCACCCCTCTATCTGGTGATTGGCCCCGGGAGGCGGCGGCAGCCAATGGGCGCCTCGCTCCGGGCGCGGCTCTTCAAACCTTTCTTTCCTGCGGCTGCCAGCCGGGTCCTGGGCTGGGTGGGTGACTCGTTCCTGGGTGGCCGCCCTGCGCCCCGGCCTTGCCTCCTCCTTCAAGACTGCCCATCGGAAGGAGCTGCCTGAGGGGGTGGAGGGCACAGGGTCAAGATTAAAGTCAGAGGCTTCCTAGGACGGGGATTTGACCCGGAAGGGGTAGGAGCCCAGGTCCGGGTCAAGGAGAGACCCAGGACATGACTTCACAGGCTTGAAAATGCCAATGAAATTCTGATCAAGCCGAACATGCTGTACGGAAAAAGTGGCCTTACCGTGCCACTCGACTGTGCGTTTGTCTCCCCATTTATGCGTGAGCTCCTTGGAAGTAGACATCGGTCCTTCTCAACTTAGACTAAGGGATCAATAAATGCATGTGGAACGAATAAATGACTAGATAAGGTCCAGTTGAAATTGTGTTTATATAGGTCCCTGAAAATCCAGTGGTCATTTTTATCAATTCTAAGTACTGGACTTAATAAGCTGATACCGTGTGCTTACCATGGTAGGTGCCAACACTTGAGCCCTTTATTTGCATCTGTTCCAAATAATTCTACAAGGTAGGTACAAACATCACCTCCCCTACTCCCCAGCTTTGTGAAACTGAAGAAATTGAATTGGACTGAGAGAGCTTAAGTAAATTGGCTGAGGACACAGGCACTGGTAGCTGCAGAGGCAAACATGTGAACCCTGGAACTGGTCCTATCCCGTACAGGGCATTGTCTCTCAAATGCTCTGCCTTCCACTGGTGGGAAGAGCACTGTATGTGGAAATGATAAGCCTTGAGTTCAGCCTTCTGCCCCTCTCGGTCCTAAGCTATGTGATTGTGTAAGGGTTACTTTCTCTGGGAGTCTCCGCTGTCAAATGGGGGCAATTCTAGTTCCCAAGATTACAGGGGATAATGTGCCTGGCATTGGGAATTTGGAGGGGGAGGGACTCAGATCCTCGTCCAACGCCTAAGAGAGAAGCCATTTAAATACCTCGTGCCCAATCTGTGGGACAGCGAACTTGCTTGAGTCAAAAGGGAAGGCAGGAAAAGTGCCCCACTCTAGACAGCTCAGAATCTTCCTAAATCTGGCAGGACTTTAGCCAAGCCTCCCGCTCAGCGAATGTTGGTGGAACGCACATCGTCTGCCTCTGTGGTTAGGAGGATGGCATTTCCCCCATTTCACAGGTGAGGCAGCTTCAGTGTACCGCAGGGGCTCATCTGGAAAATCTCTTCGAGTTCTAGCCTTAACCCTTCGTCCCGCCGGCCGCCCCAGCCAGGTCGCAGCCAGCAGAGGGCGCTGCCGGGCATGGCCGAGGAACGTCGCGGGACCTGGTTCGGCTTCGGTTTCTGCGGCTTCGGGCAGGCGCTGGGCTCGGGGCGCGGGCGCCAGGTACACAGCCCCGAGCCTCTGAGGGCGCCAGGCGCGGGCCTCGATGTCTGCCGCGTGAGCGCGAGCTGGAGCTACACCGCCTTCGTGACCCGTGAGCTTCTCCTTCCGGCCCCATCCCCATCCCAGCCCCGGGTGCGTGTCCCGCCCCCTCCCCAGCCAGCTCTCCGCCCCCCGCAGGTGGAGGAGGCCGGGTGGAGTTGTCTGGCTTCGCGGTCGGAGCGGCGGGCGGCTGCAGGGACGCGTGGGCGTCGGAGGAGCTCCTGGTGGTGCTGCGCGCGGGGACGGGACCCGGGGCCGGGACGGAGCTGCAGGCCTGGGCGCCCGGTTCGGCGCTGCGCGGGGAGCCCCTCTGGGCCCAGACCGTGCCGGAGGCCGAGCGGGAAGACGGACCGGGCGGCGATGAGACCCAGTCTGGGCCGCTGCCGCTGCTGCCCTGCGCTCGCGCCTACGTGAGCCCGCGGCCGCCCTTCTACCGGCCTCTGGCCCCGACACTGCGGGCGCGCCGGCTGGAGCTGGGCGCTGAGCACGCGTTGCTGCTGGACGCGGCGGGCCAGGGGTTCTCCTGGGGCGGGGGCAGGGGAGGGGGGCCGGGTGGGGGTTTTGGGGG